TATATATATATTTTTTTATCTTCATTCTCGATTTTCCTTTTCTTCCAAGTACCTGGTGTAACTTACTGCATGGGGGATGGTGAAGGTGAGTCGCTTTGCTATCAGCGAACCTCTATCCTGCAGCATGGTAATTATTATTGTGTGAAGAATGATTCTTTTGTTAGTGTTCTTGAGAATTACTGTAGCAGGATTTTTGTAATTTTCTTGAATTGTTTTCGTTTAAAACTTTACTTTATACCAATATTGAACCATAAGTGTTTTGCTGTCCTATTACTCTTTCTGAAGCTGTAACACCACAACAAACTAGCTTATCAGCACCTTGAAATATTTTAGTGTATTTTTAGTTTGAATTGTGCTTTCTTATCTTATTATTATCACCTGCACGTAAAAATATGCTTTATTAAACCAGACATAATTATGCTTTCATCAATCATAATTCTTGCAAGCTATTTCTTTTTGTTTGTGTCTATTAATCAAATGACATTTGATTGTATTTTTGTGTATTGTATCTCTTTATTTCTGACATTATTCACCATTAAAAATTGTTTCATTTTATAAATTACATGTAACATCTGATTTTATTATTTTCAGTTGCTGCCGATGGTGATGAGATCCCAGGTATCGGCCAGTATGAAGATTTCCACACCATCGATTGGCAAAGAGATATTGCAAGAGACCGCATGCGTCACCGATACATTGTTAAGAGAAGACAGAACTCTTTATTTGACCTAGTGAAAGGAGCACATGATGCATGGTCTGGTTGGGTTTGTGTTTTACTAGTAGGATTAACCACAGGAGTAGTCGCTGGTGTCATTGACATTGGTGCATCATGGATGTCAGATTTGAAATATGGTATTTGCCCTTCTCGCTTTTGGTTCAACCGAGAGCAATGTTGTTGGTCATCAAATGAGACAACTAGTTTTGAGACAGGAAATTGCTCTGATGTAAGTCTTAAATTCATTGTGATGCTTAGTGCTTAAATTTTAAACAATGAAGCAAATTCTCTCTTATTCCATCCTGTATTTCTTTTCAGTGGCTGACATGGTCTGAAGTCCTTGGCCAGTCCAGAACCGGCGCAGGTGCCTACATTATTTCATATCTAATGTATATAGCCTGGGCTCTCCTCTTTGCCTCTCTTGCTGCATCACTAGTCCGAATGTTTGCACCATACGCATGCGGCTCAGGTATTCCAGAGGTAATTATTTCAATGAAAATCCTTTTGTTTTGCTTTGTGGCCTATTTATGGTATTGTCTTTTCTTCGACAAAAATTGACAATGTATTTTCTTCCAGATCAAAACTATATTGAGTGGCTTTATCATCAGGGGTTATCTAGGAAAATGGACCTTAATTATAAAATCAGTTGGTATCATGCTATCTGTATCTGCTGGTCTCAGTCTTGGAAAAGAAGGGCCAATGGTTCATATTGCCTGTTGTATTGGTAAGTTGTATTGGTAAGAAATAAAACATGGCTGTAAAATCTTGTATTAATAGCTTACTTCAATTTTGGTTTTGTAGGCAATATACTCTCATACCTTTTCCCCAAATATGGAAGAAATGAAGCAAAAAAGAGAGAGATTCTCTCTGCTGCTGCTGCAGCTGGTGTATCTGTTGCTTTTGGTGCTCCAATTGGAGGTGTCCTTTTCAGCTTAGAGGAGGTATGCTACTATAATATAAAACATTTTTGGGATGGGTGTTATGCGGTTGTACAGTATATTAAATTTAAGATAAAATTTATTTCCAGGTCAGTTATTATTTTCCCCTGAAGACATTGTGGCGCTCGTTTTTCTGTGCTCTTGTGGCTGCGTTTGTGTTACATTCTATTAATCCATTCGGAAATGAGCACTCAGTATTATTCTTTGTTGAATATAACAACCCTTGGATCTTTTTTGAACTTGTCCCATTTGTCGGACTTGGTATTATTGGGGTGAGTAGTAGACTATGTACTGATGCCTTAACTATTTGCAAATATAAGAAATTTTGAACAAATTTTTGTGTGCAGGGTGTCATTGCTGCTATATTCATACGAGCAAATCTGTACTGGTGCAAATATCGCAAAACATCCAAGCTTGGCCAGTACCCAGTAACTGAGGTCTTAATTGTGACTGCTGTGACTGCAGTGCTTGCTTACCCCAACCCATACACTCGTATGAGCACAAGTGAACTCATTTATTTGTTGTTCCGCAAGTGTGGTGTTACCAACACTGATGATCTGTGGTAAGTTTGTTACTTAAATAAAGCTTCTCATACTATTTGGAGTTTCAAAATTTTAAAAAAGATACTAAAATCTGTCTTTTTAACTTATATCTTTAGTGATTACAACCGCAACTTCACTGATGTGAAGTCAGCTGTCGACCTTGCCTCAGCTGGCCCTAAGGTTTACCGTGCAATGTGGCTTCTTGTTCTTGCTCTAATTTTCAAGTTGCTTGCAACAGTATTTACATTTGGTATAAAGGTACCATGTGGTCTTTTTATTCCATCTCTTTGTCTTGGGGCAATTGTGGGCCGCATTGTTGGCATTGGCATGGAACAATTGGCTTTTAATTACCCCCACATATGGGTGTTCAGTGGAGAGTGCTCCACAATGAAAGACTGTATAACTCCTGGTCTATATGCTATGGTTGGGGCTGCAGCGGTTCTTGGTGGAGTCACAAGAATGACAGGTTAGTATGACTATCTTTGTGTCTATCAAACCATTTTTTAAAAAAATTGTTAAGTTTTATTGGTACACATTTTCATTATCTAATATTATGAATCCTATTTTCAGTGTCCTTGGTGGTTGTAATGTTTGAACTGACTGGTGGTGTGCGCTACATTGTCCCGCTAATGGCAGCAGCCATGGCCAGCAAATGGGTAGGTGATGCCCTTGGAAGCCATGGGGTCTATGATGCCCATATAAATCTTAACGGTTATCCATTTTTGGATAGCAAAGAAGAGTTTGCTCACACATCACTTGCAGCAGATGTAATGCAGCCTAAGTACGTGATTCATCCTATGATACAGTTTTTGTTTTGTGTCATTATCCTTAGATAGAGGATATAAATACTAATTCTTCCTTTTTTTGTATCAAGGCGGAATGAGACATTAAGTGTCTTGACACAGGATTCCATGACTGTGGAGGATGTTGAAACACTGATGAAAGAAACAGAGCACAACGGCTTCCCTGTTGTAGTGTCACGTGAAAGCCAATATTTAGTTGGCTTTGTACTAAGGAGAGACTTAAATCTAGCTCTTGGTGAGTCTCAATTACATCTGAATTTCCAGTAAATGCTGTTTTCTGTGATGATGTAAATGTATCATTTTCATTTTTAGCGCAAGCTCGGCGGGCAGTCGAAGGTCTAAGACCAAGTTCATTGGTACTCTTTACTAGCAATTCTCCACAACAACCACCTCAGCCAGGAACACCTGCTCCGCTTTTACTCAAGAATATTCTTGACATGGCTCCTATAACGATTACTGATCAAACTCCAATGGAGACTGTTGTAGATATGTTCCGCAAGCTTGGCTTGAGGCAAACTCTTGTTACACACAATGGGTGGGTATTTGAACATAAGTTGAAATGTGGCAGGTCTGTTAATTTTAAACTTGAAGAGTCATTCTAAATTTTGTCTTTTTCTTTCAGTCGCCTGTTGGGTGTGATTACGAAAAAAGATGTACTGCGCTATGTCAAACAATTAGACAACGAAGACCCTAATTCGGTTCTTTTTAACTAAGTTGGCTGCCACGTCTTGCCTGGTAGCCCAGTGCCAGTGGATGTCTGTGATGAAACAAAAGGTCACCTCATCTATTGTTTCTTATTGTGCGATGAGGTTACCACTTATAGTTAATACATATTTCTTACTAATCCCTCTCAGTAGAAATTTATTGGTAATATTTTGGACAATGTTATAAACTTGCTATGCAAGTTTAATGCAATGTACTAGTGATCTGTCAGAACTGAATACATTGTATGATGGGGATTTTTTTTAGTACCTTTGTGTGTTCCTGATTAAGATATTGCTTGTATGAGTTTTAAATTTTATCCTTGTAGGGTTTATTCCCGTGTCTAAATTTTAAGTATACTTCATGCTTGCCTATATGGATAGGAAGTCAAATTTAGCCTGCGGCAAGTGTTTTATTTTCCCAGTTTGTTTTACAATTTTTATTGAATTACTTATATTCTTATCAGTTACAGTATTGTATCTACTTTTACAAGTCAAAAAGTCCGTATATTTTGCAAACTTTTAGAATTTCTAATCTGTTTAATTTATGTGTGATGTGTCTTCCTTTCTGCTGTGTGGGTTCTTTCTGCCAGGCCACAGAAATGGTGATAATATTTTGTAGATGATACGAGGAATAGTTGGAATGATTATGCTAGCCCTGAAAGAGATTTAGTACATTGTAATTGATATAGATTTCATCAAGATACATTTTCAGTGCCAGCATGTAATGTGACTTTTTTCCTGCACTAAACCAGAGTAAAATGTGAGTGAAAAATATTTGCTTTTTTAACTCTCAGGTCTGTCAAGGTGATTTAATTGTCATATTTCATGTAGTGCTTTGCCTTGTATTTAGACAGCCGTCATGAGACCTCTTTACTAAAGGTGCTAGTCATGTGGTAGGTTCAAAGATATGTACATATGTTTGAGCCATCTAGTTTATCAAATCTTGTATTGTAGAAACCGCGGCCAGCTCATTGCAGCTTGTTTTAATCTTAATTTCAAATGTCATCTTTTCATTTAAATCTGTCCTTGTCTCATTTTCATTTGGTATGGTCACAACTGCATGAAAATTTTTTGCAACTAAGTGAAAGGCATGATCTTTCCAAGTGACCTTTTATTGTCAATAGTGGTGCTGGCTACCACACAAATTTTATTATAGGAACCCCCTTATAATGCTGAAGACAGAATAATTTATATTACAAATGATATATGAAATATATATGTATATGTTGTATGTAAGAATACCACGATCTGTATCTAATCATGAACTGTGTATTTGCTGTGAAGTCTTGAACACTTTTTACTGACCCTTAAGCTGGCTCTATATTAAGTGTAATTTTATTTTAGGAAATTCATTTAAATCCAATTTGTGTGATCTAATGGACTTTTTTTTTTTATTTGAGTGTTCTAAGCACTCATTTTCATTCCAAGTTATTAAATACCATCTGTGAAATGCTTAAAAGTCTGTTTCACTTTGCCCATGTACTTTTGGATGAAAAAAGAGAACAAAGTAGTGAATTTTGTAAACACTTAAAATAAATAAGTGGTCGCTAATGAATCAATGTTTCATTTTAAAGTATCTATGCCCTGTGCCCCTCTCATCTTTTAATATATTTTTTGTCTTTGCAGGTGGTACCTCTGTCTGTGATAGTCAGCACTCACAATAGGTGCACAGTCATTTAAATTGTGATACCCATTGTCAATCCATATCTCTGAGTGTCGTGCAGCGCACGCTAGCCCAGCATTTTCTCCCTGGGCACCTCAAATTTCTCGAGCCCCACCCATATTGGAGCCCGAACTCGACCGAGCGAGCAGCTAGCTTTCAAGGCCGTTCCATTTTTATCTCGTAGTCACTTGCTCCGTGTGTAACAGCCCGAACTGCCACCCGTTCCGAGAGGAGAGCGACAGGAACTACAAGAAGAGGGGTGAGTGAGAAAAATGCCTCTCGAATTCTCTACTTCTGAAGTTGTAATTTTTGTCGTATCCTAGCGCTGTTATTGCTGATAGTGAAATATGCCCCAACTTGTGGAAGTGGTGTTGAGGTTAAGTGTGGTGTTGTGGTGGCTGTAAACAAACCGTGCGCATGCGCGAAGTGGCGCGCAGCGTTGAGAATTTCAGGTTCCTCATTTCGCCGCTGCATTTGAATTACAACTGACACAAATTCTGGATTGTCGTGCCGTGGTAGCGAAGTTACGACCCTTTTTTCATCACAAGATGTGATTTGTTTTGTATATGGAAACTAAGTACAGCGTGCACGTCTGTGAGGTATCATGTCATGTATATGAAGCGCATGTGTTATGGCTATTCACGTATATAGTAGGTTCGTGAGTAGCACTATATGAGGGTGGCTTATCGAAACTGTAGCGATTCCGCATTGCGTGACTTAAAGATATGCTACCTGCCAAAGTAAGTGTCTGTGCGTCACTTGTATATTTTTTTGGGGGTGGGTTGGGGGTAGTAGTGAACGGCCTAAAACGTTAGCAACATTACTGAAGCGCCATTTCGTAGTTGGAGGTCGGAGCAAGGGAGGCGACAGAGCAAGATGTAGGTGTATGGAGGGGGGGAGGGGGCGGTTGCAGCTTGGGGTGCAACTACCCCAAGTCACCCTGACCCGTATATGTGCTCGGCTGTACGTCGGCCATGTCGACCGTGCGCACGCTGTCGTCGCCTCCCGCCCGGCCGTCGGCCGAACGTTGTTGTCTCGACTCGCGGGGCGGGTGTGCACCTGAAATAGTACACGCACGCACGCACTCTCGCGCAGAGACGCACGTCGCGGACGGGCCGGCCCGGCGCCTTGGGCGTGGTGTCGACCCGCGGCCGCGGCGCGAGCGTTCCCCGCCGCAGCCTTGGCTGTCGTGGGAGGGGCGCGCGCTCGCCCGCACCACGGCGCACACACGCACACGCCCGCACCACGGCGCACACACGCACGCACACTGGTCAAAACTCTCTCGGCTCGTCGGCCGCTGCCTACCGCCGCGGCGGATTGGATCGGCGAATAAGCGTGGCGGAAGTCGGGCGGGCTGTCATCACACGACACGCGACTTGGAAATATAATGAACGCCAAAAATGAATTGCGGCCGCCCCCCGGAGCGCGCGCGCGCGCGAGAGAGAGAGAAGTGCTGTGCGTTCGTTAGCGGACCCACAGCATGACGGACTTGTCTCTGCCAAAACAGGCGCCGATGAAGCTACACGGACACGCGCCGTCCGACCCGTCGAAACAGAGACGAATAACATGAGCGCTGCTCCGCTGGAAAGCGACTATACCACATCTCTTCCTGGTTGTTGCTGCTAAATAATGATCCTGTAGACGAAACAATGAGCGCGCGAACTCTCCGCTGTGCGTTGTCGCTGCAGCAGAGCTTTGTATTTCCGCAGGCCCCTGTGGGCTCCGTGGTAGGCAACACGCCCACCGCCGCGCACTGCGGGTCGGCCTACCTGCGCGCCCTCGCGGACCGTCCCCAAACTGACGAGTAAGGTTTGTGCGGAAAATCGCGTTCGGCAAGCCGGGCGTGGTGGAGCTTGGGCAGGGCGGGGCGGGGCGGGGCGGCGGTGGGGGCCGATGAGCGATGACGAGAGGGACGTCCGACCGACCGACGGCGGCGTCCAGCAGAAAACCAGGGAAGTGGATCAAGTCCCGCCTGGCACGGCACAAGACGGCCGCGAGCACGACTGCTTGGGCGTTACTGTTCTCTTCCCGGTGAGGAGGGTGGCGTTACCACTGGAGGCGCAAAAAACACCTCAACCAAAACACAAGAAGAAAAACCACGCGGTTACGTTTATAGCGCTGATAATTTTTAAGTGTCTGTATTAATGGATCCAGAGACTCCGATTCGCTTGCGCTCTCTGTGACTGAGTTTGCGGGGCCCGGGCGTTTTCCACGTCGTTTTGGACGTGCGACTCGGCTCCTCGGCTCTGGTGGAAGGGCTCTGTTCGTTAAGGGGAGCGGCGGCGTGCCCGCGCTCTAATGGGTAGCAGTTCCCTGCCCTTCTGCAGCGCTGGCGCGGCCGCGGTGGAGACGGCAGCTACACGATACGAGCGCGCCGGCCCCCGCCTCGCGCTTGCAGACTTTGCAATTTTATTTGCATCCAGTCACGACCGAGGAGGAGGTGGAGGTGCACCGTTCAAAATCTCCCGCCGCCGGACTCTGCTACTAAACTTATTTGCGGGGCTCTTGAGAGCAAAGGTGCGCGCAGTTGTGGTGTTATGGCGAGGCAAAGGTGGCCCGCTTTAACGAGGCCCGGGCGGGGCGTGGCGGGGCGGGGCGGGGCGGCCCGTAGCGGACGCGATGGGGACGCTAATGAAGCGGCTCGCAGACGACAGCCGCAGAGCATGTGACTCTTCTACGTTTGAGACGGATCTGTTTTGATAGATTACCTTCTGGTCGGAGGGAAAGTGTATAGTAGTTGTGCCGTTGAAATGTGTTTCGCCGCAGTCAGCGCGGCGCTTTTGGTCTCTGTCGGAATGCGATTTGAACACTATAGCAAATGTCGCGCGCGCAATACGCATGGAAGCGACAGTAAGTTTGTCTGTTTGGGTGCGCACAGCGCGCATTACCGTACCAATTGCATTGGGGAAACCTCCGCCCCTCCGACACACCAAAGCAAGGGCAAGGGTTCATAGCACTCGAGGGGGAGGGGGTATTTTCGAAGGCCCGCTCCACGTAAAAATTGCGCCTAAGATGTCGTACACGAATAGGGTAATGTGCGACCTGTCTCGTCGCGTTGCAATTGCCCTTTCCGTGTCGTCTGTCACACATCAGTCGATTGCACACGAGTATGCTATACGCCCGACTCTTGTCACTGTACGGTGTGCTTTATTGTGTCGTCTTTTTTTGTCGGTCTCTCTAAACTTGAGGGAGGGTGTGTTCTTCACACTCGGGCCGGTGCTGGGCAGGGCCGCTCCCGGTAACGGGCTGCGACTGGACGGACTCTGTGCCGGGCCCGCGCCCCTCCCTGTGTCCGCCCCTCTCTCTCTCCCTCCCCGTCCTTCCACCTGCCCCTCGCCGTCCTCCCACCTGTGCCTTCCCGTCGGTCCAGCGGCCAGCGGCGGCGTGCAGCCGCACCGACAGGACCGACGGGACAGAACAGAGTCGAAGTCAAGTCGAGCGGAGCCTCGCGCGCGACCGCTCCCGCGAGCCGAGACCTGCCGTGTGCTTTCGCCCGCCCCGCGCGCCCTTTTCACTTACTTATTTCATTATTTATTTTTATTATTTTTATCTACTTCGTTTCGCATCGCTCCTCGTGTGTGTGTGTGTGTCGTTGGCGGCCGCGTGTGGATCGTCGTTCACGTGTGTGTGTGTGTGTGTGTGTGTTTTGTTTTTGTGTTCTCCCCTGTTCTTATTTTTTTGTCGTTGTTTGTGGTTCCTTTTTATTTTATTTTTTCGCTCGCGTGTGTGGTTGTGTGTGTGTGTCGTTGCGGATCCCTCCTGGCGCTTTGCGCTACGTGATTTCAGTTTCTCATCCACTGCAGTGGTGCGTAACTCTCTTTTACGCATTTTGTCGGGGAGGGGAGGTGTGGGGCGTTTGCGTATGCGCGCTCCGCCGTGGTGCACGCCCGCCTCCTGTGAGCGCAGCGGGTCTATAACGTCCTCTTTCTCTCTCCGTTGGCTCTGTCCCATTTCGGGCCCACAGAATTAAGGCGATTCGAATGAGAGCAGCCGGCCGCCTTGGCAGCGGCAGAGGGAAGTCCCGGTCCCCGGTCCTGGGCCGGGCTGAGTCCTTGCCTAGATGGGAGCTCTCGCGATGAGCTGCCTCTATCCTCCTGTCTGTGGACCATACACTGCATGTGTACTGTGTCTGTGTAGCTGCTGTTGTTATTTTGTTTCTATTTTTCAAATTTTTGTAATTCGGTCAACTTACTAGAGATTATTTTATTTTAATCTAAGATGATGGTGGTTGAAAAGAATTAATTTCATTTTAATTTAGTGAATCTATCTTTCGTGCATCATCAAGTTTCTCTCTGGGCAATTCCAGATAGGGGTGTCCGTCCGTGACGGCATTTGTGAGCGACTGAGGGGTGCTACGTACTGTAGCAACACGCCCCTAGAAGCGTCTTTCTTGCAAAGACGCGTCTAGTCATGTGCTTCAACAACAAGTAAGTAGCACCTCTCAGTCGCTCACAAATTCCGTCACTGACGGACATTTTTTACAATTTTTTTCTGGAAAAAGACCTAAAATCGGCTTACCTGATGAGAAAACCCCCTTTTTTCTTCTGAGTGCGTGCCTGTGTTATTCCTTCCCTCTTTTCCCTCCCGGACTGCACCAGCGAAATCTAATCAAAAATTATTAATAATAAATTTAGTAAACTTTTCTTTGGGCTGCTGCTGCCTTGGCTCGACTTGGCGACCCGGTGGACTCATTAGACTCAGCGACAAGCGCACCCCTTTGTGTGCCAAGCAACGCGACGCTTTAGATTTCCCAAACCCTTTTACTTATTCGGTAACGAGAGCTCTCTGTATGCAGCGCGGGCGACTTTTGGCTCGCGCTTCATGTGCCATGAATGCGAGAATAATAACTGATCCGATTGGCGGTCCGTGATCCCGTCGGTCGACCCCTCCTGCAGGCCGCCGGCCCGACGCGATGCTGTACGTCGATCGACGACGCGTGTTTGGCGTTAGATATTTTTCGTCGCGCCGCGCTTATTTTTCCCATCATTCTAATTGGACCAAAATCCACGCGAGCTCATGGGGCGGAAATTTACCTTGCAGATAGGCGGGGCGGGGCGGGGAGGGGTGCGGGGGACGTGTGAGCGGTTTACGATCTCGGGCATGAGCCATGCTGGTCGGATAGCCCGGGCCGCGAGCATAGGTCACTTGGTAACGACATGAGGCAGAGCGCGCAGCCCCCCGAGCAGCCGCAGCGGCCGCAGCAGCAGCAGCAGCAGCCGTCGCCGCCCGACAACGAGGCAACGTCCACGTCATTTTCGGTCAATGCGGAATCCGAGGCGGATTCCCTGCTGTTGACGGCTTATCTGAACGATGCCGGCACTCTTAGGTTAGCCTGCTGCAGCAGCGACACGTACTTGACTTTGGGTCGGCCAAAAGCTTTCCCCCCCACCCCGAACTCCGCGGACCCTGGCCCGGGCCTGGGCGGTCTGTTTTTCGTGGCATTATAAGCCACCTTTCAGCAAATTACTTATCCGAAGTTGACCTCCCTGCTGCCCGACTCCTGTTTTATTTGTTGCCCTTTCCCCTCTGGCTGAACCCGCCGACGGGGCTCAACTGAATGGCAAGTGGAATATTTTTGCCTTTTTTACGCGCTATGTTATGTCCTCTTTCCTGTATGGAAAACGAAAATAATAAAAAGGGGGGTATCTGGCGACCAACAGACTTGTTTCCGCCTAGTCTGACTTTTGTCTCCCGGTGGCGCAGCATTTGGTCGTAATCCGACTTGACAATAGTCCGCTGAGCCGCCCCGGCCTGGGAAGACGGAAGCGGCGTGATGATGCGATCGGCATCGCACACCTTAGGCCCTTAGGCCCTT